AAAACAAGGAAATTGGATATCTTTGATTATATGATACATGCTCTCGGCACCAGGGTCAAGGCCAGTGTCCTGCAACAGCACGATTGGATCGATGTACACAACTGAACAAGCGCACTCAAATGCAGGACCACAGGAATAGGCGCTACTCGAGGAGATTCTACCATCGAGTCCAGCCATTCGAATCTGACAGGACCGACAAAGCTGGATGAGCTCCCTAGTTGCATTGCCGTATTTGGCAAAGCTGTTGAATATGTTAGAAAACTCTCCAGCTTCCAAATGGAGAAGACATCTTACAGGCTCTGGGAATCCCCATATGGTCGCTCCAGCTTCCGCAATACAAGTGTTGGTCATGTCCAGATGCCCAGGCCGGTCACAGGCAGACTCTCTCCCTCTCGGTAGACAATCACGGTCACCGTCATTATCAGTCATGCGAGTCTGACCAATAAATACTCACAGAGAAAGGTTGATGAGCACGATATCTGCTCACCTGTTCTTCGCAACCGAGGGCCTGCATGATTCTGGACACACACGGCTCATCTACTGCTCCGGCCTCCAGTACCGATCTGATGCCATCACCGATGTTCTTTTGATCGTCTGAATAACGCGTGCTGGTTTTCACTACACATCTTGTTGCAAATATTCAAAATCAGTAAAGTAATATTTTGCTATATACGGACCGACCTGGGTTCATGCTTTTGTTAGATCTGCCTCTCCTCAGTGCATTCCTGAGACGGATCAAACTGCTCTGCATGGCTGCGACGGACTTCTTGTTCACAGCTCTTTCGAGAGCGGCAAGTGCCACTGCAGTGCTATGCCTATTTGAAAAGAAGCTTGCTCATCCACTCGGGACAGAATCCTACTGGCGATAGTGACAACCGCTCAGTAGGGCGGTAGCACGTGCAGCTCTCCCGATATTCTCGCATGCAAGCAACCCGGGCTGATAAAGAGAAGAGCATCCACCGAGACGACGCGGCACTTTTCCAAATCGAACTGCGTTAAGAGAAATTAAGTAATGCCGGCTGGGACATCTTATATTAATTTTATCCAGGGAAACCTAAGTAGTCCATCGAATAAGTGCAGGTAGAGTCGCAAACGCTGGGCACAGGCAGTTCTGATTAAACCACTATGACAGCGTGTCCGAGTGGTTAAAGAGGTGGACTAGAAATCCACTGGGCTCTGCCCGCGCAGGTTCGAATCCTGCCGCTGTCGATAATTGTCTGTCTCACTCTCTATTTGCCCTACTTGTGTCAACATAAATCGGAGTAGATCTTCAGAATGATCCACAGCAGTCTGATTCTTCGCGGAGACCACATCTGGGACATCACCAACCTACACACGCAACCATAGGTCGACATTCAGTTGCCAACATTCTAGTCTCTTTATATTCTATGTGAGGGTACCCACCAGCTTGGCTTGGCCTTTCTCAGTCTTACTCGAATCCTCCAAGACTCTCGTCTCTACTATTTCCCGCTCGGCACGTTGGATCAAATGTTCAGGCAAACGACTCAGATGTGTGAGACTCTCTGCCCGCACCCTCTGAGACGAGCAAATACATTGAACCATAGCGATCGGACTATCGCCGTCCGTACAGTGTTGCGCTCCTGAAGCGAGAGCATTATGGCGTTTATGAAGGCATCCGCGGCCCCCTCCATATCCCCCGAGGCTATGCTGCACAGACCGTGCCAGCGCTCCCTCTTACCATCATATGGCAATTCAGCTATGAGGGACCTGACTGACACACTTCAACCTACTCTCAGTCACTGGCAAGATCAGTGACCTAGCTAAGGCGATTCTAGTACACCAAGGTTGATTCCGGTTGATCACCTCAAGCAATCCCCGGCAGCCTTACCGTGCCCTCCTGAAGTCTTCGTTCGCGATAAGTTGCCATATTACCCTCTCCGCATAAGCTGGGTGATTGAGGGGGAAGTTGGCGCCAAGCATCGCCTCTCGCCACATGTCCCCGGCAGTATCGAGTTTGCCCAGCTTTTCCATGTTCAGGTATACCCAAGCAAGTCCTATCGCGCCTATAAGGATCTCCAAAAATAGCACGATCATCCACCGGACCGAAAGGAATTGTCTACGAGTAACCTATGATCTATACAGGAATAAGTACCACGCGGCCG